TGTTTATAACAAAATATGTATTATAACAAAATATGAAAAAATCAACTAAAATCTAAAAGAACATAATAACTGTATACTTTTGTATACAAAGTATTGAAAAATTTTGTTATTATTAGGTGTTGGAATTAATTCGTAGCGTTTTACAAGTGATGGGAAGTACTTTCATTAATGTATTTTTTAATGCTCATGTGAAATAAATAACATTCTTTCATTAAAAAACGCTACGAATTAATTCCAACACCTAATATAAAGAATATATCAACTGATGTGTTTCAAATCATTTCCAATTCTTCGATTCCTTCGATTCTCTGTCTCAATTTAGTATAAAAATAATACTACTTGCAAAGGTTAACACACCTAGCATTTGTTGTTTCTTCGTCAGTTTGCGTCGGGGACGAGCGATGTTAAATTCATTATCCAAATCATAATCAGTAACTTCAAAGCTTTCCACTTCATCTTCAGACATTTTGCCGTATTATTTAATTAATTGCGATGTTGTGTAATTTCGTACCAATATAACCTCAAATTATAGTTTACCAAAATTTATATGCACTCAGAAATATTGATACGCATTGACATATCATTGATTGCATTTAGAAAACATACAATTTGTGGAACTGATGCACAACATTTGTTCGTGATTGATGATTACGTGTTTTCTAAACAAAGATCGAAAGCACGAAGACTACAGGTACGATTACATGAAGCGCGGTACAGAAACTAACTAGGTAACTATACGAACCACGCAAATTGTGCTGCTTGCTTCTTTTCTCCTCTATTACATGGAGCGCAATTTGCGGCACAGACTAGTAACAAACTTACATTACTATACACTGCTTTTTAATGAAATTAATTGATTTAAACGGAATTATTAAGTAAATCTGTTAAAAAAAATAAGAGTATCGATAAAGTGTGCATAAAAATAAGTTAATATTGGGTCATCTAAAAAGTATCCGCGGTACTTTGTCACTAGATATATGACCATCAACACACATTTAGTGACAAAAAACCGCGGATACTTTTTAGATAACCCATATATACTGTAACTTTGCTCTTATATATTTTTCGCTAGAGTTGATCATTTTCGGGATATTTTAGCGTTTCCAAACTTTTTGAAGACTGTATATTGTGATAAATGTTTTATACAGTACAGGATTTACTCATCGCATAAATAAAATTATATATAATTAAATAATATATATAATTATAAAATATAATTATTGATAATGTCTAGTATCCGTGCCGACCATATCACGTGATATCACGTAGTACCGCGTACTGCCTATCTTTCTAGTTGCTTACAGTTGTCTAGTTAGTTACTGTATTGCATACCGCGTATCATGTAATCGTACCCTAAAACTTCAAACCAGTCCGACCAATTCTAGTATATGTATAATTACAGTAGCGCAACTCTGTCGGCACCTTTGATGTTAGAGTTGGCCAAAATGGAATGCGCATGCGTAAAATAAATAAATTACCTAGCAGTGCCATAGTTACCATCTAAACTTCTTTTTCTTTTCATTCTTTTTTTGCTCTGTCAAAACTCACTAGATTTATTCGCGTCGCATTCTAAATTCCAACAAATGCGTTGGAGTGAGTAAGAGCTGTTATAGGAGCATATTAAAGCACGCAACGCGAATAAACCTACTATTGCAATAAAATAATCTGAACTTAATGAAAATTAATAAAAATAAAGTGTAAATATATTGAAAAATAAAGAGAAAATATATGTAGAAAAATTAGGAAAAATATTAAATTACCTTTAAAATATATATTTATATATAGAGAAATATTCAAATATTACATAATTGTAAATATATGTTATGAAAATGTTATAAATTGATATAAAAGAATTTATATATATATGTTATATGTCTAAAAAATAAATTTAAAATACAATAAATAAAAATTTAATGTATTTTATATAGAAAAGATATATATTTATTTATTAATATATTAATATATTAAAATAATTTTAATAATTATGCTAAAACATATATACATACAATACAAAGCACTGCATGTTAAAATATTATTAGGTGTTGGAATTAATTCGTAGCGTTTTACAAGTGATGGGAAGTACTTTCATTAATGTATTTTTTAATGCTCATGTGAAATAAATAACATTCTTTCATTAAAAACGCTACGAATTAATTCCAACACCTAATAAAAGAGAATTTTATTAATGAACAGAATCAAGAGATATTTCATTTTTTGTATATTTCCATTTCTTTATTTTATTTTTAATATATTCCATGTTTAATATATGTATAAAATTTATGATGCATATAACAGCTACAAGCATTGATCAAAATTGTTGATTTCTTGTTCTTCCTTGTCATCCTTGTTCTTCATCCTTGTAACATATAAAAACTTCAAAAATAAATAGATACATTAATTAAACATCTGGCAAATACAATATTAACATAAGCAAACATATTTACAACACATATAAAATTAAACATAATAAAATATAAAACATATATTTATATAGAGAAATATTACATAATTGTAAATATATGCTATGAAAATGTTTTAAAATGTTATAAAACATACGTATAAAATTAAAATAATATGTACATAACAACATTACATTATTGCACACGAAGAATAATGCATAATAAAAATAATAGGCATATGCAATTAAAGAAATATTTTACTTGAAAGTAATACAATGTATAAATTATTATATAATGCAATCTGGAAATAAAACATATTTATAACATGCATATAATAAAACGTTCAATTAGTAAATACATAATGTAATTATATAATGCACTTTGGAAGTAAAGCATGCAATTAATAAAAATAAGAAATGAAGTTAAGGAAAGATGTAAAACACAGTAACGTATACATAACAGTCCATTCCATGAAATACATTTCATTGTCCAACTCTTCTTGAATTATATCTCAGCTACTCAAGCTTGATATGAACCAAAAAAGAAGAAAGCTAATGAAACTTTTAAAAAATGCAATAAAATAAATACAATAATTATGGGCTCATAATTATCAATTATAATTATCATAAATTACTCAAATCATAAATTACAATTAGTACGTTATAAAAACAAGGCTGTAGATAGAAAACGCAACAAATTAAGAAGAATTATAATATTGGGTCTAAAAAGTATCCGCGATACTTTGTCACTAGATATATGACCATCAACACACATTTAGTGACAAAAAACCGCGGATACTTTTTAGATGACCCAATATAAATGTAAAATGTTTAAAAGTTTCCTATTCTTTTGAGTAATTGTTTTACATAACTTATTATATTGCGATAATATGTGTAATAAATACATATTCGGAAAAACAATTTTATTAAGAAATCTTTTCGGAAATCTGGACATGGTGGTCCAAAAGCTATATTTTATGTCTGGAACAAATAATTACCAATATTTTTTTTATAACAATTTTTTTCAAAATTTTTGATAAATATTTCTTCTAATTTGTGAATGTAGTAACAAAAATCATTAGCTGGTATATTTAAATTACCAAATAAATCTCCATTTTCATTTTCGTAAACTCGAAAAGAACAATATAGCGTATTATCTAAGACAGTTTATTGTCATTTATAAAATTTTGACACGCAACACGTGAATGTATTGCTAAACATTATTTTACTAAAAAGCCACAAACATATTTAAATGCATTTTTCTCTGGCAAATCCATTGAATAATAATCATGTTTAGGAATTTTTTAAATTTTGTTCATTGATGGAACAAGTTCTGAAATTGTGAACGTCTCTGTAATATTTGATGTTTAACAATATTTAATTATCGTTATCGTTTGCAATTTTGCGTTTCCGAATGTTCTAATAATTTCGTACTAAATAATTTTTTAAAAGCACGCTAAACTATATAGATATTGGAAAAGGCACATTACCCACCTTGTTTCCGAACAGAGTCAAAAAAATGTTCAACACTATCTTGATTTAATCTGCGTGTTCGGAGATATGAAAAATTATAGTTTTTTAAAGTTGTCCAAAGTCGAATTGTGATCTGCCAGCAATCTAAGCATTTTAGTTTTACATATTTATTGTTATCGTTAATTACTTTAATAGATTTTTAAAAATTCAACATGTTTTGTAAAAATTGCATTTGTTTATCACTTTCAATAAACTTTTTGATATTCTTTAGAGTTATTTATATTGGAATGAATTTAATATAATATTTGAATTCAAATAATTTGTCAAAGTGATCAATGGAGTTTATAGTTCCAACTGCTTTAGTTGAAAAAAACTAGAAGATATCTGTGTGCCTGCTGATTACTAAATATTTGTGCAGCATATTTAACTTTCATTCTTAAAAAGTTACTTGGTTCTATATGAGACTTTGTTGATGCAAGAGCTGCTTTTATCCATTGTTTGCTGTCTCTTTTGTAAAATTCTACGATATGATCCCACGAAGCTATTTTATTATCTATTTGAAAATTGTATTTTAATAAGTTGTTTCGAGTTGCTTTTAATAAATGTGGAGTGTCAAAGATATATACAAGTATTTCTCCATCAACTACAAAACTTGAATTATCTGCCGAAATATTTAATATATGGAACAGTTGGATAAAATTTGAACTCATATTAGAAATGAAAGCATACACCAAAGCACCATTGTTTTTTAATTTTATAATGATGTCAAATATAATATTTTTTAAAAATGTAACAGGACATGCAGTTTCTATAAAGCAAAAACAAACGGGCAGTTTTCAGTTTCCTACAATGCTACGTGTCATTATAACTAATGCACTTTTTGCGGATATGGATATTTTCCTATTACCAAAATCTTCAAAATCAATTATCTCATCCCGCGAAATATTATAAAATAAATAGTTTTTCAAGCACATTTCATTTGCGCATGGCAATACGCAATGGCGCTCCATTAACGGTAATGTATTAAATTTTACTTTAAGTGCTTCAAAAAGTTTATCATTTATATCAGGCACAATATTACACTTTTGTGTAAATAATTGTAGAGAACATACTGAAGGCAATTGTTTTCTTCAGTTCTTTATAATTTCTTGGACCTAAGAAATGACAAAGCGAATTTTTTAAAATCACCATCATATCTTCTGCCATTTGTTTTTATATTGTGCATGAATATCATCATTTGTGCACTAATATTTTATTAAAGCTTTGTGGTAATAACTTACGGACTAATTTTTATAAAGTTTCTTGTTCGTTAGTTTCTTTGGCTCTTTAGTCTCGTATGTTCTTCTTTTTTGCCTTCAAATGGAGTCGTCGGATTATTTCGCGGAGTGTTTTGTTTTGTGCCTTCAATTTTGCGAGCTTCACACGCAGCTTGTTTTTCCTTGGACTATCCTCCGACGATTTCATGTCCTGTTTTGTATGCTTAGATGTATTTCTGTAACAAGTTTAAATTCATATTAGATATTGAGAAAAGATTTATTATTCTAATAGAAACAAATAGTAAAAGATTACTACATAAAATACAAGATTATATGAAAATTAAAATATATTATGTTAAATGTACACATTCCATGTCAAATGTACATGTAGTGTGCAATATGTTGCATAATCTAGTACAAACTTTATCTTATATAAAAACATCGATAGTCTCTTTAATTCTTTAAGGCCCAGATTGCCCAGAAGACTGATTTGAATATATTTTTTTTACAATATAATCTTTATAAAATATTCCTGATAAAGAATTTTGTGTATCAAATAAAATTATTCTTTTGAAGATGCATAATCATGTATATTCATATTTATATACACTCCAGCTACAGAATTACAATTAAATATTTAAATTAATAATAAACGTGATAAATCAATCTTGTACTTTAAGAAGGTAAAAAATAAGAAACTACTAATTGTTTAGATATTTCCAATAATATGTATACAAAATGAATAATGTTACACCAAATCAAGTGCCAGAGAATATTAGCTCTGCAAATAATCACCATAGTGGCTTATTTTTAGTAAGAATATTATTTTTTAAGTTGGAATAGTAATTCTAATTGCAACTAGTAAGTATAAATTAAGAATGTTATATAGACAGAGTTACTACTGTGTCAATATAAATAGTATTTGGGAAAAGTTCAAAGTCAATATACTTAATTAGGTACACAGGGCCTTACAGGGTTAAATAAATAAAATTTGATGAAAATTAATATTGATCTACACAAATATAATAACAAAAATCTACATTGGATTTAATGTAATTTATAATAAATTAAGACTTACGGTTTAATTATCTCAGTATCCATGTTATCAACAATAATTGGTAGTGTTTCTGCAAATTCCATATTGCTGAAAGTATAAAATTTAATATAACATTACAAGATAAACTATATATATAGAAAAAATTATTTAAATATAAAATATTTCAATATAACGTACTCATTTGTTTCTACTTCGGTTTTGATTTCCATATGTTTTTCCAGATGCTCCTGCTGTGTTTCTGTAGATTCCATATTGCTGAAAATATACAATTTTGTTACATTAAATTTCTTATTAAAAATATAAAATATTATCTATTACCTGTTTTTTTCCTGTGTTATATTATTTGCAAGTTCTCTATCTATTTCTCTGCAATAAAAATATATGATATCATAACATTTGAAAATAAAATATCATATTTATACATATATACAAGGTGAATCAGAGTTATTGAACCAACTTTTTCCCTATAAGAAAATTATCGACTTCATACTTAAATGAATTATAACGTGTCAATTATTTTCTCATAAGATAAAAAGCTGGTTTACTTATTTATTTCTGCTTTGTCTTCAATGTCAATCGTGTTTTCTCTGAAAAGAGAGTTAATTATTATTTCCTAATTTCATAAATTTCTACATTTTTTCCCTTTTATATCTCTTTTATATAAAAACAAACTTTGCATTCACTAAAAAATAAATTAAATTATAAGTAGAAACTCACTTCCCACATTCTGGTCCAAAAAATATTGTCGGTATGGCATCTGGATGAAGACGAGCTCTCATTTTATTTATTTTGTACCATTTTTCTTTGAAATGCAAATGACATAACCGACAATTCTGGTACGCATATTCTGGACCTTTTGGTTCTAAGTCCAGCCTTCCACATGCTCGTACCCATTGCAACCATCTACAAATTAGATATTTTATCAATTAAAATGTACATAGAATTGAAAATTGATTTATATAAACTGATTTATATAAAAAGTGATAAAAACAACACACCTTTCATGCTCCTTTGGAAATCGGAAAAAATAACGCTTTTCTAAATTAAATTTTTTTGTGCACGCTGGTACTGCACACCATACGTTTTTTCCTTTAATCATTTTATATTGTTCTTTTTTTTACAATTTTTTGGAGTTGACACAGCATCTGAAACAGAGACCTAAGATCAAAATGCTCTTCCAAGAGAATTACTAACCTATAGAGGAAAGCCCTCTATTAAGAGAGCGCCTGATATGAAATAGCGGCGTTTCCGCTAAACTAATAAATGCTATCTATTGATTCAATCATGAATTTATTCTTGGATTGAAAACTATTTAGTGGAAAATTCATTATTATATAGATACCTGTAATCATCGTAAAAAAAGATTTAAAAATTTGTCTTTAAGTTTCATTGAGATGAGCCTTTAAATTTTGTTTATTATTTAATAAAAGTAAATTTATTATTTAAAAAAAATATTTGACAATAAATTGTTTATGTAATGATAGAGTAAGATCGTATTAATAAAAAAATATAAGATATGTTGAATTGTTTAATTATATGGGTCATCTAAAAAATATCCGCGGTTTTTTGGTCAACACCATCTAATGACAAAAAACCGCGGATACTTTTTAGATGACCCAATAGATGATCGTAAAACCGTAAGGCGCAAAAATCGTAATATGAGATATCCAAAGTATTTTTAATTTGAAATAATCTATGCTTCTATGTCATAGTGAAAATTGTTATTAAAGTGTAAATGTTATTGTACAATAATAAAAAGGATAACCTGAATGAACATTGAGTGCCTATTTCTGCGATGCTTGTTCTAACTACTTGAAGACAAGTCGTACAATGCATCGCACGTTCGTTTGTTGAAAAATATTTTTTTTTTTTCGATTTCCATTCGATTTACGGAATTGTCCTTTTGGAACAATCTATGGCGATAATGAATTGTTCGATTATTAAAAAAAGGGGTGCCGGATAAGAAAATGTTTTTTTTGTTTTCTGCTATTCATTCATTTCCGTTCATATGGAATTGTCCTTTTCGAACAATGTTTGGAATAATTAGAAGCAAGAAGAAATTGTTTGATTTTTCAAAAAAGGAGGGCTAGCAAAAATAATCATTTTTTCCATTTTATTTATTGGAGAACGATTTAATGGAATAAGATAATATCGCTTTGGAACAATACAGAACAAACTCAGAACAATCTGGAGCAATTGTCAATTTCTTCCTGAAAGAGAATGAAATTTTGAACTAAAAGTTTCTTTGCCAATTTTGGCTCAGACCATTACTTACCGAGTTATTAGCGATTAAAGTTGATCAATCAGCAAGCAGACAGAGCAAACTGGGATTCCTCGCACTTGCTATGCATTATCTCGATTGAAACTTATTCTAATTAATTGAAACTTATTCTAATTAATTGAAAATTATTCTAATTTTTAATATTAACAAATAAATAAAAATAAATAAATAAATAAATAAATAAAGTCTGAGCCAAAATTGGCAAAAGAACTTTTAGTTTAAAATTTCATCCTCATTCATTCCCTGAAACATTAATGAAAAGATATAGGACATCCTATATATATATATATACGATAAAGGCTGTGTTTGCTCTGGCGTTCACAACGCTTTAAGTATCGTTTCATCCTTGTTGTTTATTATATTGTATATTAAACAAGGACAATTGATGCACAAGCGCTGTGAGCGCCAAACCAAACGCGGCCAAAATAAGTCTACTCACAATCAGTAAAAAAATAATAAAATAACTGAATTCATCATGGTATAAAAATATAAGATATTCTATTCTCAAGGATGCACAGTCGTCTTGAACATGGCTACTCTTATCATTCAAAGCGTTATCCTAAATTTAGGGTAAGCACTTGATTACTCTGATTTAGTCTGCTGGCCATTATGCGCAATAAAATATCTTATATTCTTATACTATGGAATTCACTTTATTTGTGAAAAAGACACCTTCCAACGACATACATGGGTGGTCTTTTAGTTCCGCACGCGACTTTTTGTTGTGTGTATGTGCTATCCTATATATATTCCCCCATCGCAAAGATTTCTTTACAGAGGGGCATAGTGCCAGGAGCACATATATATAAGAAATAAGAATTATTAGTAATGGCATGGACACGAATAGACCCACGTATGCCGTTCGAGAGTTAATTCAATTGTAACTTTTAACGACAGTCGTTTAAGAGTTGGCAGAATTGGCCCCTTAATTATACAGACATTACCGCTCATGGACATTTGATGACACCTGCATAAATTTCATCGAATAATCATGTAAAAAATAAAGACATTATAAAATAGCAATTGTATTATTTTTTAAAATATATTTTAGGTCACTTGTACACATAACAACTATTAACATTTGCTAACAATTGCAAAAGTTTTATAAATTATTTTTAATTTTATGCCAAAATGTTTTTCCTTTATTTTACCTTTATTTCGTAGAATATTGATAGTATAATCGGTTCAAAAATTCGCTCTTGACATATAGAACTAAATAAAAATAATTTATAAAGCTTTTGCTAGTCTACCTCTCACTTATGGGAATAGGTTGGCAACATACACTACAACATCAGCCCATATTTGTGTTCTCTGGGCGGATTTTTGAAATTTATCGATTATACTATCAATGTTCTACGAAGTAAAGACAATACTTTTTTGGCATACAAAATTAAAACTAATTTATAAAGTTTTTGCAATTGTTAATACGTATACAAGTGATCTAAAATATATTTAAAAAATAATACAATTACTGTTTTATAAAATCTTAATTTTTTTACATGATCATTCGAGATAAAATTTATGCGTGTGTCCGAATTTCCATGAGTGATAGTGTATGTATGACATGTGTGATCAATTCAAATGCTTTTCTTTTCAAACTAAATAAATTTCGCATTGCAACAAAGATATATCCACACAACTTGCATAGCCGTATAAATATATGCATAAAGAAAATTATCCAATTGCATTGCTCTTTTAAAATTGTACGTAAAATGTGATTGGATAATTTTCTTTATGCATACATTTGCTTTATGCAATTATGCAAGTTATGGATATAGCCTTGCACAAGCAAATAAAAATTTGAGGGGGTTTGCGTATTTGAGAAAACAACAGCTAAACTATTCATCAATTTATTTGTGTGCAAGTCAGCCACAAGGGAAAGACATACGCGCCGATCGATTTCATATGATTCAACGAGAAGACAGATCTCAAAGTCGATTTTACATATGTATGAATCGAATATAAGAGCTATATAGTTTTAGTTCTAGAAATCCGCAGTTCCAGCTGCAGTGCACAGCGAACGTACTATCACATTATTCGATTATATAAATCATGTTTTGAATGATTTGACAATCTCATTAAAAATATATAACACTATAACAATTTGTGTGTGTAAAACTTAAAACTTCGAATATTGCAGAATTTTATGAAATTATTCCCATTAAATTGAGTAAGAAGAAGAAAATCTATAGATTTTTACAATACAATCATAATAAAAACAAAATCGGAAATATCAAATAATTAACACTCGCAGAACACAATAACTAACATTACATCAGTGTTATGATTTCCTACTTAACAATGTAACTGTTATATACAATATATTACATTTATATTGTTAATTATGAGCTGTGGGAAATTATACGAATAATATTGATGTAATGTTGCTGTTAATTTGTTTTCTGCGGCATCACCTTATGACAAAGAAAAAAAATGTAAAAATCTGTTTAGATTCTGAGATTGTGCAAGTTGTAATTTTGAATGACATATAATTCGTTTAGAAAATTTCCTGGTTCAATTTCTGCGAGGAATCGACAGGTCAATGTGATGGAACGTTCGCGTCGGCGTCGCATCTGAACATGCCATTAATCTCTAAACACTAGCCATTAGAAAAGGCAGATCCAATTTTGATTTTCGCACTCGGTCCGATCTGCCTTCGAGTTCGAGGATAATTCGCTTGCTCGACTGACAAGCGGACAGACCAAATGCGGATGCAATCGCGGTTAGAAAATCGGTTCTCCACATCAATAATTTCACACGATTGCTCTCTCACGATTCGAGGAGGAGGCATAGATCGCTACTACAAATTTCTCTCTTTGAAATCCTTCGATCGCTACTTATCTCGTATATGCGGTAGAAGCGCACAATGGCCCCACCAAACTCGTTACTCTCGACTCGATTTTTTTACGTTAAGTGATACCGATTTAAATTTATCATCTTGGAAATCGAAGATCGCTTTACTCGTTTACTCGAATCTTATATAAATTCATATTCTTCAAAAATATATTCCACATACATATAGTTAACGCAATTTTCTCTTTTAGATAGCGTTTGAGATTGCTTCAACAAAGCTAAATAACTCAGTCGACACGAATTAAAAGTAACATTAATATTAACATCAATATTATAATTTCGTATTCAACCACATAAATTTAATACAACACAAATTTAATATAACATATTGTGTTACATAAGTTACATCGTTGAGTTGGAATTATAGCATTGATATTATGTTACTTTTAATTATGAAACTTTTAAATATTATTATATTACGAATTCATTCGAAAAACTTTGCAACAAATGAACATAGGATCTCCATCGTGTATAGGATCATTACTCCGGATATCGCGGGCATCGATCGAGAGTCTCGAATCGGTGTATATTCGGCGTGAATACTAGACAACTGCAAGGAGTATTGGGCAACTGTCACACTCACATTTTAATCTTTATTGTAATAGACTGTACTCTGAATTTCATCGCACACTTTCCTTCTTTTAACAAAAACTGTCGCGTGTACGCAGGGATCGAGTCTTTTCGATGACGCTTTATCATCCATTTTACGCTCTTTTCTCTGTTTACTCTCTTTTTCGCTCACACACATGCATAGCATTCATTTTTGTTTCATCTTACTCCTTCTTTATGCACAACAAACCACGTCATAAGACGTATCATGCGTTTTGCATGCTAGTCGAGGCATATAACAAAATTCGATATAGACTACAACAATAATAACGTTTTTACTACACACTTTTCTCACATACGTACTTTCAACATACAATCTCATGCACACTTAATCCGCCATTCTAATATGTTGCCGTTCTAATACAATTTGTAGATTCTGTTACTTATAGGATATATATATATATCGTTTTATCCGGCACAGTCCATCACGTTATATTCATTCTTTATTTTCTTTCCTCCTCTCCTTTT